TATATATATATATATATATATATATATATATATATGATGATGATGAAGATGATGATGATGAGGTGTACTCATCATGGACATCCTTTTATACCTCATCGTTTCTCTTTATGAGATGACTTTGATCTTGAATACTATCTCTCTCTCTCTCTATCTCTCTAAGATAACCCGTTCTTCTGTCAAACAACAATTGGTATGTTCACTGTTTTGTCTATGATGATCCTTTCTTGTTGATGGCCATAATATCTTCTCCTTTCATCCACATGATGATTTTTGAAGAAATTAATCAGGATACTTTTTTGTACCTTTATTTTGTGCAGGAATTTTAATAGACCCTCTCTTGTATTATCTTTTGGTAGTTACAAGTAAATCTTTTCCAGGATCTTTCTTGTATATCCATTGATAGTCAACCTACTCTTGAACAACCCAAGTATCAATGTAAGCAAGAATTATGTCATTGAAAATCTCTTGGGCTTTTTGTTATCAATAGAGAAATATTTCACAAGTGAGTAGTGAGACTAAAAGACCAATATGGTGATGTTATACCTTATAAGTCCTTGGGTACATATGGAGTTTTGTTAGCCAACATTCAAGCAATAGAAGCCCTTCCAGAGGTTGACAAGGCCTAATGAACTAGCCCCAATGATGTTTAGTGTATTTTTTATGACCTCATTCCTCAATAGAACTGCAACACAACTATCCGTAGTATCTCATCCCAACTTTTCCTTCTCTCTCCTTGCCCTCTCTTGTTGCTTTTCTTTGAAACTAGACACAAGTCACAATTCGCATGGTGTGTAAAGTTGTGAACTGTAAAATATATAGAAAATCAAGGCATTTAAAAAGTTTGTAGGTCATAAAAATATGGAGATCTACATTCCATTGTATATTAACCAAAAAATGTGATGTTGAAACTTGCACCCGAAGCATAGGATACTTGATTTCATATTGGTGGAATCGTGCTTCCCCTTACTCATGAAATGATGATTTCCCATATCAAGATCCTTAATATCAAGGAGTCGCCTAGAATTGAGATCTGGTGTTTCAGAGTGCCAACACGAGATCCGATAGTGGAAGCGACACCTTGTTAGAAGATCCCGGTGACTATGGCCAGAACCAGTTGCACCTTAGATTTTTGCTGAGTTGGGGGCCTTTAACACTTTGAAGAAAGCGAGTTCTCTCATGTCTCCAGATCTCAAACTTGTCTTCTTAAACCTCTTTACTAAATTTAGTTGAGGTTAGCTTTCTACCATATTTAAGGGATTCATAATAGTAACCAACAATAACACAGGGCCATAGAGTACTTGATTTTGAAAAACATTTTTAGTATGTGTCTGGGTCATATTTCCCGCAGTTTGGACGAATTTCGTAAACATATTTACTTTGTACAGCTGCTACGCTGTATACAATCTTATATATTTTGGAAGTGGAAATTCATTAACAATAAAACATGAAAAAAAAAGCAGATTGTCTTTGTGATGGAGTGTAGCAACTAGTCATTTATTTTTCTGTTTGTTTCATTTTTATGATTGATGGCTAGATCTAAATGACTATCCTTTGGTTGATTGTGATAATCATTTATTTTAACTAAAGAGAACGCCTTATGATTTATTTGATTATGAAGTGACCTTTTTTTTTTTTTGCAACTTCATTGGTTATAAAGTGGCTATTTGTTCCGACCTTTATTTATTTATTTATTTAATTATTTTTTTTTGTAATTTCATTGGTTATGAAGGGCTATTTGTTCCATGAAGCTGATCATGCTTTTGCCTGTTTTAGATTATGTGAAGGAGGGGAGCTTTTGGATCGGATACTTTCAAGGTATAACTTAGCGCTAAATTCTTTAACTTATTCTGAAATACTAAATCAATAAATACTAGGAGTATACCGGATATGTTAATTTCCTTTTGATAGTTGTTCTTCATCTTAAGGGATATAAATAATTGATGAATGAGATTTGACTTTCTTTGTAGGGGAGGGAAATACTCAGAAGATGATGCCAAGGCTGTCATGGTTCAGATTTTGAATGTTGTTGCTTTTTGTCATCTGCAAGGAGTAGTTCACCGAGATCTCAAACCAGAGGTATTTTACATTTTGGGAAATCTATCTCTGCGTATTTGTGCTTTCTTAGTGGTTCAATCTTGCTTGACTTAGTAGTTATGTGTGTGAACAGTACTCCTGAATAGTGTCATGAACAGTGCTGTGAATAGTAAAAAAGTCAAAACTAGAGAGAAGAGAGAAAAGATGAAATAGACGAGAGGAGAGAGTGACGTGAGATTCAATCACCCCATGCCCCACCAATATTTTTGTTTATAATGTTTGCTTAGGGTTTACAAAGGACAAAATCACCCTCAATGAATATAAGTTTCCTAGAATATATATAAAAATGACAGAAATACCCCAATACACAAAGCAAGTTATTCTTTAACACTCCCATGCAAGCTGGATCACCCATGCCTAGCTTGGAACAAATCTACTGAGTCTGGTTATGACTAAGCACCTTGGTGAATATATCAGCCGATTGATCTGATGACTTCACATATGGGGTTGTTAAAGCACCTTGGTGAATATATCAGCCGATTGATCTGATGACTTCACATATGGGGTTGTTATTTGCTTCCTAATTTGGCTACCACATTTTGTTTCTTGCTTTTCCAAGTTACCAAGTTTCCTCCAACAAAGGTGCAGAAGCCTGTAGTAGATCTTCTTTCTAAAGGTGATTCTACCCAATCAGCATCAGGATAATTCTTAATGTCAAACTGACCATTCTTCTTGTAGATGAGTCCTCGGCCTGGAGCTCCCTTCAGGTATCTCAAAATTCTTCGTACTACTTCCCAATGTGTTGTTATGGGAGAATGCATATATTGACTTACTACACACATCGAAGGCTATATCTGGTCTAGTGATTGTTAGGTTGAGAAGTCTACTAACAAGTCATCTATATCTGCCAGGATCTTCTAGTAAGTCTCCTTGATGCACTGATAGTTTGGAACTTGGATCCATGGGTGTATCAACCGATTTAGCCCCTAACATCCCTATTTATGTTAGTAAATTAGATACATATTGCCTTTGGGATTGACGACCAAGCTACTTCAATCCCAAGAAAATACCTCAGTTGCCCCAAGTATTTTGTATGAACATACTGTTGCAGATAATTCTTCAACTTTTGATTTCCTTCTTGATCACTGCCTGTAATAATAATATTATCAACATAAACAACCAAGATAATCGTTTGAGCGGCATGGTTTTGAATAAATACTGATTGATCCACATGGCTCCGCTGAAACCCATATGCCAAAACAAGTTTGCTGAATTTCTCAAACCATGCGCGTGGTGATTTCTTTAGGCAATAAATTGCTTTGTGTAACCTGCATACCTTGTCTGACTCCCCCTTAGAAACAAACCTTGGTGGTTGCTCCATATAGACTTCCTGTAAATCCCCATGGACGATGGCATTATTAACATCAAGTTGGCATAATAACCACTCCTTATTTGCTGCCACATATATAATTACCCTAACTGAATTAGGTTTGGCCACAAGAGAAATGTCTCAAAATAATCAATACCAAATGTCTGTGTGTATCCCTTTGCCACCAGTCTAGCCTTTGTCTCTCTATAGATCTATCGGGCTAGTACTTAATGGTATATACCCAACGACATCCAACCAATTTCTTCCCTGCAAGCAAATTAGTGAGCTCCCAAGTACCATTTGACTCAAATACAACCATTTCCTCATCCATAGCTTTCCTCCATCAAACATGCAAAAGAGCTTCCTGATAGAATTTAGGTATGGAAATGGAAGAAAGTGCTTAAGCAAAATTCTTATTACAGGGAGATAGATTTTCAAATGTAACAAATGAGCAAAAGGATATTTTGTACAAGATCATTGACCTTTATGAAGTGCTATTGGTAGATCAATATCTTTCGACTAAAGGAGTACATTCAGGAGCTGGATGAGGATCGGCAAATAAAGATGAAGATTGGTCGGTTGCTTGAGTTGGTGGTGATGGCTCTTCTCTTAATTTCCTTCTTGTATGCACTTTGAGAGGTTGAAAGAGACACATGAGATAATGAGTTATCAAGGAATGTAGAAGTACCTATATTAGCCAAAGCAGCAGTGGTAGATGAGGGATGAGTAGATGGTTGTTGGCTATGCTTGATTAACTTATTGTGTTCTTCTCGTGAGAGCAACATTGAGTCACTGTCAAAATGTAGAATCTGGTCTGGATCGTTGGAGCCAACTGGCTGCACACCATCACCTTCAGAAACATAACACACCTGGTTAGTCCAAGCATGCTTGCGAAACTTATCTTAGCATTTTTCAGCAGTGTGATGTGTTTGCCCACAATGGTTTCACTTCCTTCTGCCTTGATCTCTACATGACCTCCCCTGAATCACGACCATGTCCTTTATTTCCATCACCACGGCCTTTGGCATCACCTCTACCCATGGAGGAGGTTAAAGCAGTCCCATCGCCAGTGCTAGTAGCCACTAAAAAAGAAGATATAGTAACCCGTTGAAGGCGAGAATATACATTAGTGAGAGGAAAGTTCACTACTAGCTAAGATCTGCCCCTGAGCAGTAGGATACTCAGAATTAAGGCCAGATAGAAACTTTCTAACTCTAAATTTCTTTCTTTGCTTTTTAAGAGGTTCCATATCATTACGTAGGGGTTGATAAATATTCAATTCTTCCACATACCTCGAATAGAACTATAATAATCACTAAATCTTTTACCTCCTTGTTGTAAATGACTTGTACTCTCATAAAATTGATAAATCTGAGAAATTTTTTTATCAAAGGAGTACATTTTATTTACAACTTCGCATGCTTCCTTAGCAGTATCATAGAGCATAGCATCAACTCTCAGATGGGGTTCCTTACTCTTCCATAACGATGTCATAATCTAATATTTCTCCCTAAACCAATTGTCATACCCGCTTTCCGACTCTTTTGGGCTGTTTTTAGTTAAAAATTTCATCTTACACAATGCGCCCAGAAAAGCCTTTATGGATTGGGCCCATAGAGGTAATTGGACCCATATAATCTTTCAGAGAGATTGTTGGAATTCCTATTATGTCATTGGCAATAGGAATTCCAGGTTTACTTTCCTCGTCCATAAGAGCAAAACATTCTTAAATAAGCAAGGTATGAAGTATATTAAATCCAACGATCCAAAGCAACAAACAACAAATAATACACACAATAACTTCTTGTTCAACTATATGAGTATACGTATCTGTTTAAAAGCCGATGCACAAAGCTCTTTCCAATATAACTCACGATAAAACACCAAACAAGTCATTCACAACTTCGGCAACACACCTTACGGCATTTCAAACTTGTTCCTCTCGACTTTTCACATCCAAGATAGGAACCTTTTTAATAGCACGAATATGCATAACACAGAGGCCACCATATTGACCTCACACACTCAAAGGAATATTTATTGACGAAATCAGCCCCAACAGAATTAGGGTTTTTCCTCTCTCCGTTTATTATTATTATTATTATTTTTAAATAGTAGCTATTTCTTTAAAGAATAGAGAAGAAGATAATAAGTATATCAGTGCTTTGATTGAAAGTTGGACTATGTGATAAAAGCGCGTTTCTTATTTTTCTTATTCTTACACCGACAAGACCACCCATAATGTCCAATTACAAATAAATAACTCTTGAAACAAATAAAGAAAAGAAGAAAAACACGGTTCTCACTTGCTACCACTCTTGAATACAATTCTTTAAATCAAAACCTTAACTCATTGCTTTATGGGAATAGAGGAGCTCAACATAAAAATAAAATTTAAGGAAGTAAAATTACTGGAGATTACCTTAACCAGGTTTAGTACGCCCCAAGCTGAGTCTCCTCCTTCCGATGGTACTCGGGATCTATGATTGGTCTCTTGATTCTTCTACTTATAGCAAAACCCTCTCAAAGACATATGGATCTCGATCTAGAACCAACTTCTTGAGGCCTCAATGCTTTAGTCTTACTCAAGCCCTTTTACTTGATTTTTAAAGAGATGAGAGCTTAGAAATCTAAGAGAGAGGGATACATCTACTACTAGCTAAGGGATGCTCCCTTTTGCTACCCACAAAAATCAAGATCTAGCCTAGCTTGGGCATGCCACTTTTTAGAACTCACAAAGGAGAGAGATATGATATATCCTAGCCCTAGGCGTGCTACCTTTAGAGAGATTGAGAGGCTAGGTTGGGGCGTGGCCCATTAGACTAACTTGGGAGAGAGAGATGTATGGTAGGTTGGGGCATGGCCCCCTTATTGATCCTAGAGAGAGAAAATAACTCTTGGAGAGAGTAGAGAGAAGAGTTGTGTAGAGATTGGGTGAAGGGGGAGAGTCCGTTTTTATAGATTTTTTATGCCTTAGGGTTTGCCTCAATTCGTAGGGTCAAATCTTGATCGTCGATCTAAGGAGACTTGTGGGGTGAGAGATTTGAGCTATCAATTCCTTAAATCTACTATCAAGATTCAAGGAAGGTGCTAGAACCTTATTTCCATTTCCTAAACCTATTCTCATCAAATATTTAAACAAGGAAAATATTACTCTTACTTTTTCATTTAGTAAATATTACTCATACTTTTTCCTTTAGTAAATATTTATTCCTTATTCTTTTAGTCAAGCAATCTTGATACACAAGTCATTCCATTCTTGTTTCAATCAAAATCTATACAAAACACTTTCCATAAATTTTCAATTTAATTGATTGCCTTGATTCACAAGATTAGAAAATAAGAAAGTACCCCCACTGTGTGGGCCCCCATGGACTCTCTCAAATATTATGAATTAAAATGATTTTTTAAAAATAAGCTTTTCTTTCTCTTTGATTATTTAAAACATTGAAAATTGATTTTCTCTTATTTTATAAATCAAAATGATAAAAATAAAATATCAAGAGAATTACAAAAATTCAAACAAACATTCTAAAAATCATATAATATAAAATTAGTTATTTTTGATGGAATCGGATCTGTATTGGAGCACTCCACCTTCAACTGCAGACCACGATCCATACTAGCTTTCTCAAACTGACTCAGAAGTTTTCAATCCACTGCAAGGACTCAT